AATTAATCACTTTAGCAGCATTGATGCCTCAGGTTACCAGAGCATCTTTTCACTACCTTGGGTGTACTCATCTGTGAAATCTATTTCGCTAATCACAGTGGTCTTAGATGCTAAACTTCAAGTGTGCTGAAAGTTTCAGACAGAAATGTTTAAACATCTCTATAATGGACAATGTAAATACAACACACATTTTAAAACTTTAAATATGAGATGTGAACAGCTTAGCAGAAGCTCTTTGCTTTTTATTGTTCTACAGTTACACATATATGATTTATATATCTGTTCCCACACGTTTGTTGAACAACATAAATGTCAAATTTTAAAGAATGCTTTCATTCTATCTTTCTGACATTTGCAAATTTGTCTGAGAGCATTTATTTAATGTGTGCTTATACTGATATTTCACTTTGAATATTGTGTGCTTCTGGCTTCTGCAGTTGCCAGAGTTTATACTTCTTGTGTGAATATAATTACTGCTGGAGGGAAAAAAAAAAAAAAAAAAACAACAATGGATGAGGTATATCTAGTGTCAATGTAGGCAAATTCTGTATGATTAATTTTGAATTTTCTGGAAGTTTGTACTGTAAATTACCAGTGGATAAGTAACTCAAAAAGTATGGGTAAGTAGATAAAAGACTTTTCTATAACATTTTAAGTAGGAAATACGCACTGGATTAACTATTGTGAGATACATCCTCCCTTCCACAAAAATAAAGTGTCAAACTGCCTGTGTATTATGCAGTTTGCTGATAATATGTAGGTTGCTCTGAAAGTAATGCCTTGTAGAATCATGGAAATAAATATATAATATACAAAGAGTACAATAGCACTTTTTGATAGACTGAATTCTTAGCCACAAAACATTATTTTTCAACAGTTGCCATTGTTAGCTATGCATTTTTGCCAGCGATGAACAAGAGCTGGTAAAACTTTTTTTGTTTGTTTAAAAAAACAAACAAACAAACAACAAAACAAACAACCATGGCTTTCTGGAACATGGCTTGTCTTTCACATCACTGTCACCACTGCTAAAATCCACCACCCGCTGTCTCAGTGTGTTCACATCTGCTGTTTGGTTTTCATAAATAGACAGAGTATCAATGAATGTCAGTGTATGCAATTTTTTCTACATGGAGGAATTAAATGACACACCTTTGCTTCATATGCTCGTCTGTGTCAGATGCCATTCTGTCAGACTGCCCCTCTGCTGCCATCTGTCACATGGCAACAAAATGTAATGGAACATGGATGGGAAAGTTCAATCCCTACTTCCATATCACCAACATCTGCCTCTGATGTTGTGGGCCAACATAATAAAATGGGAGACATTACTTTTACAGCTCTCATGAAATAATACTCTATTGGTAATGAAGATAATCTTCAATCTTAATGTAGGTGGTGGCAAGTACTTTATCTGCTTGTTTGTTTACTTGTTTACTCTGTTTTTCTGCCTAAGTATGGACAGTATGTATGTAACTCTTCTGATGCATAGATTTCTTCTTAACCTAGATTCAGCCATTTCTTAACAGATTATTTTAAACATAAAATTGAGGAGGATGTATTGTTTTGCATGAAAAACATGAGTTCCCTTTTTCCCTCATACTTGACCTCTTCGAGGTTTTTCTGTAGTGACCAATGATAAATCTCTTTTCTGACTATTTTAACATAGTGGGTATCTGAAAAGGAATTTAAATCCTAAGAGCCAAAGAAAGAGGTTCATAACTGTAGTCTCTTCTCTAGTCTGAATGACCCCAGCTCCCCTCAGCCTCCATTCAGAGGAGAGGCATTCCAGCCCTCTTATTGCTTTCTTGACTCTCATCTGCACTTGCTCAAACAGGTTTATGTTCTTAAAAGCCAGCAAAATAATGCTGTATGTTCTTGAAAGTCATCAGTAATTGGAGAAATGGTAATACAATTGAAAATATCAAATGTTTTTATCTACATTTTTCTTTAAAACTTAAGGGTGAAACAGGTTTGTTGTCATTAGTAGCTAGACTAATGCCGGTTTGCTTGGTCCATGAGACAAATGCATATTATGTTATAGTATTACACATTTTGTTGCTTTATTAATGGAATTAGAGGGTTTATACCAAATAGTATAATGTCTTTTCACATATACATTAAGCAAAGAATGGGAATGTACCTCTTAAAAATGAAGTAGGTAAATCCCAAGACCATTTTGAATCAGCCTGCTTAATGAACATCATAATTTTATACGTTTTTCTGTAGAGAACATTGGTTAGGTAATTAGGAAATGTAAACTTAGCTGTAAAATGTTGATGGACTAAGCTGTAACTAGCTTAGGTTATGCACAATAACTTTTAAATATTATTTTTAAATGAGTAAAAAATCAAATTTAGAGTAGAAACGAAGTATCTGCTAAGTAGACTCATAGATACGTTGTGTAATGACTATATTCAGTATTTTTCATATATATATATAATCTGCTACAGTGTGTGCAGCCTGTACATGGTGGCTACATCTCATCTATGAGCACTGCAAAGAATTTTATATTTAAAGACAAAAAATTTAGATATTGTTAGGGATGAAGAGCAATGAAAGTCACTTCTTTAATAAATTTAATTGTGTAAACCCGGCATTTGCAGAAGATGGTATATTAGCACAACCTGTTTATGAATGTTCACTATTCAGCATAGAGAAATTCATTTGTACTTCTGCTTATCGGTAATTTTATTTATTGCAGTTTGACTTCTGGCTATTAATATTCATAGGGACTTTCATTGCTCCTACAAAAGTCTATAATTTCATGAAAAGTCTAACAAACTTGACTGGATAGATACTTAGAGTACTCCTCAGTTCTTCAAAAGTCATTTTGTATAAATTCAGAGATGAGGAAAAAGTATGGTCAGTTTGATATGAGTGACTGTGGAAGAAGGAAAATTCTGTAATTTTGGATGTACAGAATAGCGATCAATTAAATTCTCATCTATGCAGCATAATTGGGAAGTGTGACTTTAAAAATAGGGAAATAGCTGTGTGATCATATTTAAATGTTTCTTATCTGTTGTTTTCTTGAGAGCTTTTCATTGCTTAATGAATTAAAGAGTACGCATAGCTGTTTTTGATATTTCATAAACTTTTTTCTCACCCCATTCACCTTCCTGGGATCATTTTTAGATCAAGTCTGACCTACATCTAATTGATTGATGTTTTATATTTAGTTGAATTGCCTTATAAAAACGTGCCCACTTCTCATAACCTTATATAGCTTAAGTTCCACTAGTGCATTAGAGAAGAAAGGAATGTGAAGATGGTTAGCTATAGTTATTATATGCAGTACTTATATTATTTCTAATAAATTGGAACAAAATAAAACAAGCAATAACATCATCAGAAGTGTGCTATCAGAAGGAGGAGCTAGTTTTAAGGAGTAATATGCAAATTACATCAGTGCTATTGGACAGGAGGATCTTTATTGTTGATACAATTTGCAAAAATACGTCTTAGTGCACTTTCTAGCACAGCACTTTGGCAGAAGGAATTTTTCATGCAGCTATACAGAGTATGCAATAACTTATTCTCAGCAGAGCCTGTCTTCAACTGTCAGTGAAGCTAAGGTGTAATAGTCTTTGGTGTTATACACTGAAAGATGTTTCCTTCCTTTGTTCAACCAACTTCCATTAAACTGCCACGTATACTTATTTTCATCTTGTTTTCTCATGTGATTGGATTGAGGATACAGATAATCTATCAAAATAATTTTAAAAAAACTTGTTACCGGCAAGGAGGCATTTGCTGATAACTGTCTTCAACCAGACTTCTTGTTAGGAAATGACAGCATTTTTTTTTTTATTATTTTAATTAAAGATGAGAAAGCTCAACTTCTACCCTTCATTACTGTGTTCACAGTTCTCTTACAAACCACCGAAACCAACACAAAAAATAAAAATACAGCCAGTTTCCTAACAAATGCAGAATAAAGTTTAGGTGAAAAGCTTCAGTGACTTGTGTGTTTCTGGGTTCTAAATTCGCAATTCTTATCTGTCTTTGCTTGAATGGCAACCAAAACAACAAACAAAACTAGACTGACACTTGTTCTACACTGAGGAAATGAGTGAGAGGGATGAAGCAAACTTTTTCAGGATCTTTGTATGAAAACCCTAACAACAACTGATTTTTTGTTAACTGCTTTAATAGCAGCTAGACAGAGCCCTTGATGCTGTGCATCATTTCAAATTTGCTTTTGTTGTGTAAAACGATGATAAGCAAAACAGATTTCTTTTGTTTTATCACACATTCTGGCGAAGTGAAGTTTTGTGAGATTTTTTGAGTAATTAAAAAGTTATTTTTTCAGCTCTGTGTAAAATAGGTGGCCACAAATAAGAAAGGTAAAATAAGTTACATGCTTACCTTTATTTTAGCATTAGACTGGTGAAAACAACTAAAGGAATCAAAGCAACAGAGGAAATCCAGCAATCTTAATTTTCTTCTTTACCATCTTCTTGGCTTACAAGTTTTCCTGTGCCTTTTGTGTAAATCCATGTTTCTGATCTATACAGTTATTTTGTATGCAGCCATGATTGGTGAAGCATAGAAAAGAAGAGAAATTAAGATATTAAAATTGGCTTAGTAAACAAATCACGGTTCTCATCTTGGTGACATTATACTACATGCCTATTTAAATTATTAGAATGTGGTGGTGGGACAGTGATGATGGGAAGTAAGGGAACCAGATTACTAACAGTAATCTGTTCAGAAAGGCTCATTTTCCCTTTATTTAATGAAGTTTACATATATATTTTCACATTTTAACTCTTACTTGTTTACATCATTTGTGTGACTGACATGCCTGGTGTGCTATCACTTTACAAACTTTGCCTATGAACAGGGCCATTCTTTTTTAACTAGTGTTGCGTATTTGTTTATTCTTTAAATTAAATTTCTGTGTACCATACTATTTCATTCTATTCTATGGTTTACACAATGAACGTTTCATGATTTTTATGTGACTGCATTGGTATGTTATGATTGTTTTATAGGTGGTGATTCGTGCTCAAAATGGCGAACTCCTCTATCGTATTTCACCGTGGGCAAGATACGTAGTCCGTTATGAAGGCAAAGTGAATTACGATTGGGTACACTGGGATCCACCACAGTCATATATAGTAAGGCTTAAATATTATTTTTGAGAGGTGTATAAAAACATGCATTGCATCATATTTGTAGCCCTATTTTGAAAATTTAGAGTTGTCATATGAAAAGAGAGTAACATACTAGCTGGAATAACCACCTGAGAAACGGTTTGTATTCGACACTTCGACAGAAACAACTGACTTTAATGGCAGATGTTTCTGAACTACTTTCAGCGTCTCCCGTGAAGTATATATACAGTGCTTACCTCTTAAAATGATATATTTTGCTTTGACTTTCCACATTATGTGTAAGTTTGGTGATTCTTCCAGGGTTAGGCATTACAGTCCTACTTTGCTCTTGAGGAGGGAATTAGGTTTAGAGTTAGCTACATGTATGAAGTTCAATGCCAGTAATAAGTTAACACTGTATGAAGTCAGAAAAAGTCCTCAAAATTAAGGTGCTTGTGCTTCAATATAATTCCAGGTTTTTTCATATTGGGAAAATCTGTTTATGTATTTTATAGCCCATTACTTTTTGTGCAGTGCTGTAAGTTATAGAGTAGATTCTCATATATAAATACCCTAGGAAAATGTTCAGAACTTCTGACTGGCATATTGTTATATTTCAGTATTGTTTTCTGTGTTTTTTTTTTGTTGTTGTGGTGGTGGTGGTTTGTTTGTTTTAATTAAAATAATATGCAGGGCTTTTTGTATGAGTGGTATTGCAAGTTCTGTTTTGAGTTAGATTTTTGCACCCACCTCAAATTATGAAGTATGTGCTTGACAGATAAAGAATAATTTTCATGTAGAATCTCTTTAAAAATTACATAAGCTACAGTAACTTTAGAATTTATATGTACAATCCCTATAAATTGATTGATATGCTCTATTTTTTCATGCTCAGTAACTCCTAATTTTTGTACAAGTAGAAATAATTGAGTGACAAAATCAATGAGTAAGCAAAGGAGGACAGCTACTTCCCTCGCTCAGCTGGCAGTGCTGGGTACGACTGGCCCTTTGGGCTACCAGGGCATACTGCTGACTCAGATACAACTGTCAGCCATAATATGCAGATCCCTCTTGGCAGGACTGCTCTCCAGCCTCCGTTCCCCATGTATGCAGATTCAGTTTTTCCCTATCCCAGTGATGAATCCAGCGCTTGCTTTCATTGAACTCTATGCAGCTTGTGATTGCCCAACCCTCTGATCTGTCACTATCTTAATGCAAAGCTTCCCTGCCCTCGAGGGACTCCAATCTCCTCCAAGCTCAGTGCCATCCTAAAACTCAATAAGTATACCATTGAACATTGCATTTAAGTCACTTACGAAACCATTGAAGAACACTGGCTGAAACAAGGAGTCCTTTGGAACCCCACCACTGACTGACTGCCAGCCTGATGTTATAACCCCATTTACTATAACCCTTTGAGCTCAACCCATGGACTGGTTGTCCATGTATCACATTCTTTTTGTTAAGCTGTATTCTGAATGTTTTGTCCAGAAGGTTACTATGAGAAATGGCATTGAAAGCTTTGCTCAAATCAAAAAGGATTATTTCCAACAGCTGGAAAAAGATCCGTTTTTATGGCCCAGAGTAAAAAGGAGGCAAGAACATATAGGTTGCGGACTAGTCTTTACTGAGTTATGTCAGATAAAAGGAATTGACTCGTTATGAGTAAGAAAGATGCTTAAACTTCTGCTTGCTCTTTGCAAGTATGTATGGCTGCATGTATTTTAATTGGTTGTTCTAACTTTGACTTCACTTAAGTACTGAACTGACAAGTAGGAAATAAAATCTTGCAACATTTTTTTTTTTTTTAATTGGGAGAAATTGGAAGAGAAAAAACCTTGAAGGAAAAGTATATTTTAAACAATAGTTTATCTTTTTCTTTTAAAAACAAAGATTTTGTTTTTAAAAAGTAAAATCCCAGTTAATGTAAACTTCTTGCATTTCATGTTGTATACTGTTGACAATTAGTTTTTATTTTTCTTCCTAGCGTAAGCATCGTTCTCCCAAGAAATTAAAAAGCCTGAGAATCTATGAATCTCATGTGGGAATTGCTTCCCCAGAAGGGAAAATAGCTTCTTATAAAAACTTCACATTTAATGTACTGCCTAGAATAAGGGATCTTGGTAAGTAGTAACACAGATGCTTGCAGATATGTGCTTGTACTCTTATTAGAATATGTAATTATCAAGTGTCTATGAGGATTTTTTTTGTATTTTCAGATTAAAAGCACTGCAGAAATAGATTCTTAAGGCAGAGCAAAAAAGAAGTTACATTTATGGAAAAGAAATTTGGACTGAAGTATGATTTTGAACCAAAATCCATTCGAGAGATTTTAAAGTGATATGTGATTTCAGAAATCTAGACAGTTATTGGAGGGCAATTTGCTTTTGGCATGGCTTGCTTTTCATCTGAAAACAGATCTGTTGCATGTTAGTCTTTGGAAAATACTGTGTTCTTAATTGGCTCTGCTAATGTACATCTTGCTTTTTAGAAAAGACGAAAAATATCTGAATAGAAAGGATTGTAGTTTTTATTTGCCGTACAATGTGTGCTAATTTTTTTTTTTTTAATCCCTTAATAGTTGTAACAGTTGTTATGAGGTGTCAGAATATGGAAATTTTAAATATGAGAAATCCTCTCTTGCAAAGAAACTTCTAGTGTAGTGGAGAATATATGTGAAGCAGCTCTTGTGGTTAAATTAAGAAGCATAGCAAACTAAATTGTTCACCTCAATTTGTTGAATGATTTTTTTAAAAAAATTCCTGTGGCACCTTTGCATTGTTTATGCAATGGACAATGTTCTATCTTGTTAACTTTGACTCAGTATGATGAAATATGTTTTGTTACACTCAAATGTCACATAGTCTTGCCATACATGATTGATAGCTTTTAGATGTTGGCTGTCCTTATCTGTAGTTTGACTTTTATTTATCAGAGTGCTTGAAGAAGGTATATGCTTTTCTTGTAGGCTTATTTGTTGAGCCAGTGTTTCACAAAGCATGATGGGAGTTGCAGTCTGCAAATTGGGATACCCTCAAAAAATTCATTTGGAATACCCATTAAATACCTGTGCCTCTTTTCCTCGAGCCAAAGTACTTCCTTCTTTCCAGCAGGTTAATAGGTTTAATGGAATTATAGGAACTTTCTGCTTTATGTACCAATTTCTTTTTGGGGAGAAGAAATGTTGTAAAAAGACTGATATACCAGAAAAGCAATTCAAAGTTCAGGCTGCGTATACAGAATATGATAGGTAGTTTTCTTCTTTATTTAAATAAGTAAGTGGGAATCGTCTCTCTTTCTCTTTTTTTTTTTTTTTTTTTCTTTTTTTTTTTTTTTTTTTAAGCTGTATTTTTAAATGATATTTGATTCAGTTTTGAAATGTCTTAAACAAACTTAATGACATAAGTATTTAGGAATAAATACTAAGATATAAATAACTTGTACAAATATGCATGAAAAAATAGCAAAGTAGTCTAAATCATACTAATTTGATGCTATTCAACTTTTTATTTGCAGAAATGCTGTAAATAATAATAAATGCAATGAGCTTGAATTGTGAAACATCAGTTTATCTGACAAACTGCTCAACTTATGCCAATTACCTGCTAATAACTAACTCGTATATGGGTGAAAAATTTGAAAACAAAACCAATACCAAAAGTTTTTGGTTTACACTAAAGAATGAAGAGCTTGGTTAAACTAGTAAGGAAGAGCTATGTAGTTGTAGGTGTCTCAGCAGATTATATATTAAACTTGAAAGATACCTTTTGTTGACTGTCCTTATTTACTAGCTAGCTGGGGCACTTATTTGCTGACATTAATGATAGATTGGGTGAGGTGTATAGTAAGTAGTTTCATTACTTGTGCAGAGTTTCTTCTTTAGATTTCCCTCTTATCTGCGCTGAAATATTTTAGGTGATGCAAGAGAGAGTGAGTCATTTATGTTTCTGTGCTGTCTTGGTTCTTTGGTAGACTCGGAACAAAAACACATTACTCCTGTATTTTCTTTCTTTTAAAAGATTTAGTTTTATATAGGTTACTTGATGATTGAACCTTCCATTTTCAAAGGAAGGTCATGTAAGTATAAGCTGTTAGGTGGAATTACCTCTTGAGAGAGAGCCAATCTGTAGTTAGTTGTTAAGTATGCATGAGAATTAAACCAGCTATGATAGGATAAAGATAACACAATTTGAAACTGATAAGTTACAGGAGTTGAATTTTTTAGTTCACCATTCTTGAGACAAGGGTATATCTTTTTATTTCTTATATTTCTATAGGCTATAACTGTATTCAGCTGATGGCTGTTATGGAACATGCATATTACGCCAGCTTTGGTTATCAGGTCACAAGCTTCTTTGCAGCATCAAGGTAGGTATAAGTACTTAATCTCTTTTGTTCCTTCACCTATCTTTCCATCTAATCAGCTAAAATCAGTATGTCTTTGATTGCAAGTACAAGTTTAATGGAAGAAGAAAGTATAGGCTTAGGCATGTGCAATAGCTTGCTTCTTAAATCTGATATCAATTGCCATAGTCATCACCTGTTTTGCAAAACATTTAGCATAAAAACAAAAGTTGTAAGTAACTTTAGCCATCACAGTATATTCCATCTAATTCAGTTTCAGCTGCCTGCATGTGTTTTGCGTGCATAGGGGTGATGTTGTTTCATAGTTAAAAATCTTTTTAAATGTTAGTTTGTACTACAAGTTACTACTTCAGAGGCTGAAAAAAAAAACCCAAATCTACAAACAATTGGAATCTAAATGATGAAGAACTAGTGACATTGATGTACTTTCTGTTAGTGATGTTAACTATTTTTGGCTTAAGTTGGGTGGATCCCCTCATAACACATTTATTTTTTATGCCGATAGCCGTTATGGAACTCCAGATGATCTGAAAGAATTGATTGATGTTGCTCATTCAATGGGTATTACTGTTCTGCTGGATGTTGTGCACAGCCACGCATCAAAAAACTCAGAAGATGGACTCAACAAATTTGATGGTACAGATTCTTGTTTCTTCCATTCTGGTCCTAGAGGAACTCATCGGATCTGGGACAGCAGGCTCTTTGATTATGCAAAGTAAGTATACAATATAGTTTCAAGTATTTTAGTGATAATAATCTCTTAGCAGTTTTATTAAAGCTTCAGTACTTGGAAAGCTGAAAAAAAAGTTTGGATTGCTTAATGGCTAAAATATGCTGAGTTATATTCATCTGCTTTGCTAAATATTTAAAATCTGAGATTAAATAATTGTATTCAGTTTCTGTTACTCTTCTGTGATCTATGACTATGTATGTACGTAATTACAAAGCTTGTGCAGGTATGTAACTTTTACATGTATAGGTAGTTATATAAATCTTATGTGTATATATTTAAATACGTGTGTGTTAAAATATATAAAATACGATATAGATATCTACCTATATATATGTAGACACTTAACATAATTTATTTGTAAGTATTATATATGCATTATATTTAAGATGAAAATATGTTTATAAATAAAAGAATAAGAAAAGCTGAAGAAAACTTGTGAACTCTGGAAATCTACTATCAAACTATACGATTGTTAAAATTCAGTAAACACTGTGGCTCTGGCTAGCTATATTCCAAAACTTTCCAGAGGTAGATCAACAGTTTATATAAAGCAGGGGTCATTTTCAGTAGGCAGTTTGGATACAGGCATCCTGTTTTGGAGACTGAAGGATTTCTATGTGGAACCTGTTCTGAACAGCATGGGCTAAAGCTGGAGACCCAGACCCAGTCTGGGCACACTTATTTTTCTAGTAGAAATTCAGATTAGTGTCTGGTAATGATTAGCATTTAATATAATTTACTTCGTGTTCTCTGAGATAGTGGAATGGGAGTGATTTGTCTTGTGTGCTGAGTATTTATATTTCTTTTACATGGAGAGAGAGTGAGACAGAAAGGCAACCAGCTTCTTTCTGTCTTCTGTCATATTTTGACTTGAACCACCTTTATTTACCCCTTTTCTTGTCTTTAGGTCTTCCTCTAAACATCCCCCTGAAATGTATTATTTTTTATCTTGTTATCAGTTACAAACTTCTGGTTTAACCTCTTCAAGGTTTTGCTTGAGTAGTTCCTTCAACAGCTCATCAGTCAGTGACTTAAGAGTTCTAGTCTCTTGTTAATTTGTTATTTATTAGGGTTTGTGTGTCTGCAAGTTCAATTTATTGGTTCTTTTTTTTTTTTAAACTCTCATTTCTCTTCCTTGCTTGTCTATAATTGCCATTAACTAGTTATGTTTACAGTGCAAATGTCTTTAAACATTAAATCAGAATTCTGTGTGTTCATGTAGTGGCCCTCCAAAAAAAGGGTGTATATATGTGTATGTATAGGTAGATAGAGAATTCTATACATATTGTACACAGGCTGTACTCTTTACTGACAGTTTCATAGCTAGTGAGGATTATAACTGTTTAAGAATGTCACTCTTGAAGAAGTATTGTTATATAACATAGGTCATTTTTTTTTTTAAGGAAACTCTCTCATAGTAACTCACAATTTCAGTTAAACTGAGTGACGAGTGTAATAAGTGATGTACACACCGTTACTTAATAGGATAAACTATTATGAATTTAATTTCTTTTATCTGGGATAATTTTATGATGAATTCAGAGGGCCTATTTGAATTGTGCAACAAATGCATTTTAGTAGGTCTCAACATAACCACTTCTTGTTGTATAATCAAACAATTATGTGGTGGCACCAGCCTCTCCAGTGAGAAAATAAGTTGAATTGAATAGTTACAGCTCTTCTATTTCAAGCAGAGGCAGGTTGTAAAGAAAGTGGTGATGCTATTGAGTGTTTTGGAAGGATTCATAAATGAAAGAAACAGGAAGCTGTTTTCCAATTGACATAGGTTGGATGAGATAGGCAATACTAAGCTCATATTCAGAACTGAAGAACTGCTTACACGGTTCTTTTTAGTTAATGTTATATGCCTTTATTTGTTGAGGAGGGGCATCACTACATAATTATTCTTTATGTGACTGGAATAGATGCTAGACTGCATGCTGAAAAGGGAGAAAGTGAAGAGATGTGAGAGAAGAGATTACAAAACAGTGAAGACCAGAGCAATTGAATGTTTCCTATTGAAGAGAAAAAAATGATGTCCTGGATGTCTGATGGTGCCTTTTATGTCATTCCCCATCCCCTGTCCTCTAGTGAATTGCAGTAATGAGTTCAGTTTTCCTTTTTTAAACTTTTAGAGAAATCCAATCTTCTCCTTTAAGCACAGAATGCAGTACAGTAAACTAGGCTTAGTTAGAAACATTTTCTTTAGTCTTAATATCTGAAAGATTAAATATTCTATACATACTTACAGTCAAAGCTTAGTGCTTAAAAGATATAACAATCATGTTTCTTCTAGGTTGCTCAAAAATTGTTAAAAATATATATTATTTTCTCTTTTATGTGTATAAAGATTGCAAACAAAATTGGGAGTGTTGGAACTGAAAATATTATTTTTTCCATCTATGTTTCATTGACATGCATGCGGATTTCCATACCAGTAAATGAGCAGCTACCCTCTAATAAAGGGGAGTACAAAAATCTGTGGGATAGACTCAGATTGTTTGCAGTTGTTCAAAGTTCACTGAAAATAAATGATGCCGAACACAACGTATTGAATAGTATACAGAATAGTGTCTTTATTGTTCTGTAGTGGAAAAAGTTAAATCTACATGTACTTAAATATCAAATACAGAAGATGCTCAATTTATTTTGGAATTGAGAGAAACTAAATCACTGCCATGAAAGAGATGGAAAAAACAATTGCTTTATCAGTTTAGTCTGTCTACATTTTCTTTGAATGCCAAGGCATAAGGAGATTGTCTTGCAACGTTTGCAAGATTATTTAGTTGTCTAGGAAGGTGACTGTGAGTGCTTACCACAGCAGAAGGAAGCAAAGATCTATATCCATGCAAACTGTATTCATGGTATATTTAAAATATTTTTAGTTACATTCATGTAAGTAGTGAGAAGGTCTGATAAAAGTGGTATTAAAACTTGTGCTTCATCTCTAGCACAGTAATATAATTTAAGCAGATAAAAGCAGGTTTAGTGTTGTAGGCTTCAGAGCAATACCTAATGAGCATGTTTATGTAAGACTTGTAAACTGTAGGCATGTTAAAAATCATGTAGTTTAAAGTGTGATGTGAGGAACAAACCCTCAATTTCATAGAAAGATAACTGACAGATAAAAAATAAAAATAAATGGATCAGTAAAATAGTATTTTCTTTCTAACTTTTATTTGGGAAAAAACAAATTATTAATGCGAACAAAAAGCCCCCCCAAAAAAAACAGCTAATCAATTCAGAAATAAACTTCTACTTTCACAGTTCTGATTTTTTTTTCCATTTTTTTCTATAATCTGGATCTAGGCATTGTATTCTTAAAATATAGTAATTTGGTGAATCTACTGTTTTACTCCATCCTGTTCTCCTCTTGCATCCCTCAAATCAAAGTAAACCAAAAGTCTAACTAACAAACTCTTAGCAGGTACTGTGTTATATTTTAATGATAATTTTTAAGACAGGGACTTTTTATATTCTTTGTCTTGATTTCTATTAAAATGGAGCTTTCCTATCCCCAAATACAGTAAAGGGGCATACTCTAAGGTAGCGGAGATATCAAATACTCTGGATCTGTACTTTACCTGGCACTGTCTATTTCATTTTGTGATAAATTAAATGCCTTGTCTCTACTGTCATCCTGTTTTAGATGGCTCACTCAAAATGCATGCAAAAAGCCAATTTTCTCTCTTCCCCCATCTTCATTTTAAGTAAGGATTCTGCTTATAATTAACATAACACAAGCTAAGTGTATCTCTTCTTCCCTCCTCAAATTGTATTTGAACATTATCCAGCTGCCAAATTCATTAGAATTGTCGCTGTAGACCAGGTGGGATCACAACTAGAGTAGGTGATTGTGTTTTGATTTATATTCATTTCTCCAAATAGCAAATGTGTCTAAAATACTAATTAGGCAAAACAATTTTAAAATAATTGAGAGCAAGATTTTAGCTAGCGAAGATTTTTGCCTTTTTTTTTTTCTTGTCTGTAAATGAGTCTGCTTTTCCTCAGCTTGTTGAAAACAATATTATTTCAAATTACTTATTTTTCTTTCTTTCTCTCATTATGTTTAGTTAGATTTTGTGCTTTATCTAATTCTGTCAGGTATCCTGGTATATTTATGTGTAAGGTGTGCCTTTAGGAAAATGATAGAAGTAAAACTTGGCAAAAATAGTACAATACTCTTGATGCTTTTTCATTTGGTTGGTTCATTTTAATACTGTGATATCTGAGCATTTAACCCAAATTTTAAGTTGTTCAGTCTTGGAGAATACTTTGGCACAAAAGTTGGAGGTTAGATTTAATCCTGTTTTTAATTAATGACTTGCTTCCTTGAACACAGCAGTGAGAAATGATGTTAGCTACAAGATTCTGGGGCCAGAAGACTTCCTTGGAATCTCTCTTCAGGCTTTTTGAGGTTCTGTTTTAAAGACCAAATTTTTGGACCAAATGTGAGCCTGTGCTTTGGTTCTTCTGTGTAGGCACCACAGTGAGTGGGAACTCTTTCGCCTTTGCACCTATAGATTTTGTCTTTTTTGTACTTGTTGGTAACAATCCTGTTTTGGCAATAAAGGCTTGTAAATGTTGTAGAATAACTCTAATCTTCTTAACTAAGCCATATTTTCTTCATTCTTCCCTCTTCAATTCTGTATTATACAACTCAAGTGATGTTCATATTTAATATGCTTTAAAATGATGTAAGTAGGGTTCAAAGTGTAAATACTGTTCTACAGCTCACAACAATGAATGATATTCTGGTTGCCTGCTGCACTGTCTTCTCCAGTGCAGTCTTCAGAACCGTTCACAGAGCAGCTCCTGAACTCTACAGAGTTCATTCTTTTTTGTATGTATATGTGTTTTTTTCTCTTTTCTTTCTCTAGTTATTCTTAAAGTGGATTATAAACTACTGTAGTTCTGAAACTGCTTTTTGCCTGCAGTCAGTACAGCAGAAGTAGGATAACTGTCTGGGGAGTGATTCAGAT